ATAAGATGGCATCCTTGTGATCTTTGTTGTTTCCAACTTCTGGGAAAGGTGGCCATCTTGGATGTGGCAAAATCTGTGGTGTAACAATAACTGGGAAACGCTGCTCCAAGTCAAACATTTTTCAACTTTATTATTTTGCCCTAAAATGCACAATTACATGGTGTGCTCCTGACAACTTAAGTTTAGAAAATAACCCTATGGGGTTTATACACTAAACACATAATTGTAATTAATTCAATGAATGTGATTACATACAGCATATAGGTGCTTAGACCCCTTTGTCTCAATGAAGTGGTCTAAGTGCCTCTGGTGTTTAAGTCTTGCAATGTAAAACAGTGTTGCTTTGGAGATATGGAAATCTTTGTATTGTAGGTCTAAATCACCTCTAGTGGCTGTATCCCTGAGAGCCATCAAATCAAACGCAGTACTTTGCCGTTCAAGGTCCTCATATGCACAATGCCTGCATCTCCGATGCTTGTCATGAGAAGCATTGGGTTTGATGCCTCTCTATGAGAAATTTGGTTGGGTTAGAAGTCGAAGAGGAGTCCACAAACAAGATCACAAAATCGAAAGGAATTGGGATTGGATGCAAGGAGGTTATTTTTATTATTATTATTTTGCTATAAAAAGGGGGGGGGGGCACAAGGAAATAAGTAAATTGATTTAATTAAATAAAATATTATGTTTTTCTTAACAATAGTTTCCCTTTACAAAGTAAACTGCATAAATGATCAAATTTATCCCATTCAGCTATAGTTATATCGTGCTGATTTACAAAATTCAGGTTTCTATTAAAGGACCACTCTAGGCACCCAGACCACTTCAGCTTAATGAAGTGGTCTGGGTGCCAGGTCCAGCTCGGGTTAACCCATTTTTTAATAAACATAGCAGTTTCAGAGAAACTGCTATGTTTATTAATGGGTTAAGCCTTCCCCCAAAGCCTCTAGTGGCTGTCTCATTGACAGCCACTAGAAGGCGCTTTAACGTCTTCACTGCTTGATTTTTCACAGAGTTACCGCCCGGCGTCAATAGGAAAGCATTGTATGAGGTGTAAGTACTTTCCTATGTGACCCGACTTCGAATCTTGTAGCGCAGCTCTTGCACGTCGCGTCGCATTCAGCCCGTGAAAGCGGAAACGGAGGAGGAGAGAAGGAGGAAGCTCTCCGTGAACGGAAAGGTAGTTTAAACCCACCCTTTCCAGGCGGGAGGGTCCCTGAGAGTGAGGGGCACCCTCAGGGCACTATAGTGCCAGGAAAATGACTATAGTGGTCCTTTAACTACAGGCTGCAAGTGCAGCGCCCCACCATATTGAACTGAGAGTGGTAGTCACTAAACTTTGAATAGTAACGAACTGAAAGCCGAATTGAAAAAATTGTAACCTGGAAGAGACGAGGTGGGGCTTTAGTTGAGTCGGAGTCTATATTCCAAATGAGCTATTTGAGCATGAATTGTTCTATCTGCAATTTATAGTGTATTGAATAACCCTGTAAATGGAGAGAATACAGGCATTACTGATAATGCTGTAACATACACAAGCACATTCATGGGATTAGCAGAGAATTTTACATTTATTTTTTTACGATTTTACCATGTTTGCATTCCCAGTTCTTCTGATGATTGTTTTAAGCACTGTGTTATGTATTGCAAGGAAATTCACCGTGCATTCATTTGGGCGCATTTGCATTCTATAGATATTTCCGTTTTCATCAAACAGCAATAATCATTTTAGATAGAGTTCAATTAAACTCGTATTTGCATCTTTACATGACATTTAAAAGAAATTAGACAGGTTTTTTTCTACGTTTTTTTTAAATTTTATTTTTATTTTTAAAGCTGCTCTGTTATGTTGTTGCAAATGGCATCGATTCAGCAGATTAAGCTACTTTATTTGCAAGGCCTAGCAACCACAAAAATAAAATTTGGTTTAATTGCTAAGCAAATATGCATTCCCACGGCATAAGAAGAACGCCTTATAATGTGTTTGAGAGCTAAACAACATCTGAGCTAATTGGGAAATTAGGCTTTGTGAAGGCAAGGGTGAATACTTGTGAACTTAGCTTTGTTGTGGCATGAGATAAGACAAAATACATTTTAAATAACATTAACAGCATCTTAAATAGCAGCTAAACTATCAAATACTTTGTATTTTTGGTGGTGGAACCAGATTTTAAGAAAACGTTTGGATTTTGAGAAAGTAGTTAGACGGGTTAACTTATAATGTCCCCACTCCGAACAGTTGATTTATTTAATATGTTTTGGTCTCGTTAAGGAAAGTGCATGTAAAATGTACAGTGGATTTTGAATCCATTAACGAAAGGTCTAAAATAAATATCACAAAACCAGCAATTATAATAAGCATGCGTTATATTTTTATTAATGAACTTTGTTATTGTAATTATTAGTAGTGTCTCTATATTAGCACATACATAGTACAAAAGGACACCGTAGTCACCAAAACTTCCCCCACTATCTTTTTTGATGCCCACTGCAGAGATTAGTTAGCTACAATTCTTATCAATGCTGCTTACTACGGTGGGCATGCATGTCCGTAATAATCTGCACTACTAGGATACTCGTTCTCCAAATTTCAATTTTTTTTTTCTATTAAGTTATTTTGAGTGCGGTATTGTTGGAGAAACATTGCTGACGCCACCAAGAACTTGGAGCCATGGTGGAGTCAGTAATTAGTTTCCTACTGTTTTTGTGATATTTTATATTTTCATTTTTATTAGCTCTTATTAACAAAACTTCTTTTCCAATTGGCGTAGTGGTACATACTGTTGATTGTCCGATCTCTGGTGCCCCTGATTTTGGCTTGTCTAACATTTATTCTGTTAGCCTGGCCTTCGTGATGCCTTGCCACCTCTAAGAACCTGTGACATGTTTGGCCTTTATTTTGTAACTGAGATTATACTCGACATGTTGGGGTTTATATCTGTGACTCTTACCTTGTGTGTAATTATACCCCACACAAAATAGGCATATTAAAGGGACACTATAGGCACCCAGACCACTTTCGCTAATTGAAGTAGTCTGGGTGCAGTGTCCCTTTTGCACATTTTGCTGCAATATTAAACATTGCAGTTCCAGAGAAACTGCAACATGTACAGTGGATTTTAAATCCATTAACGAAATGACATTTGCGTTCCGAATTACTGAAGTGCCAAATCGCTGAAGTGCCGAATCGCCGAAGTGGCGAATTGCCGAAGTCCCGAACTGGACCCAATGGCATTGGTCCAAATTGCCGAAGCAGGCACATTTTTTTTTTTTACCTGAATTTTCAAACCAAACTGAATCTTTTGCCCATGCACATCCCTACCAGGAATACAACTTTGTATTCCTGGCACTATAGTATCCCTCTAAGTGTATTGTAAGCAACTTTAAAAAATAATTTTAGCAAAAAGTATTTCATCGTTCTAGTATCAAAAAGCGCTCTTCTGCATTGGGGAAAGCAGTTTTTCCCCAATGCAGTGTAATTCACCTCTTTCATATGAAGTGCACCCACACTCAGAGGCGTACCTAGGGTCTCTAGCACCCTTGGCGAAAAGCTGTATCGGTGTCCCCCCACCCCCAGTCGTGTTCCACATAGCATGACTCCTATATACGTGCTCCACCATGTAAAGGGAAGCTAAAGAAACAGACATAGCATTATATATTTTTTTCCTAATCCTCCCTGTCCCATATAAAATGAAGGAATAGGAATTGAGGTTCCTACGGTTTTTTAGGAACAGAGTTCTGCCAGTCACCCAAAGCCCTCCGCACTATATAAAATCAATGGAGGAGCTAATACAAACCCTCCCACCTGCTAGTGCCGATATATAATTGTGACAGATCCATCTGTATAGACTAAGATTGCTGGTTCGCCTGTTTTGCCTCTTTTCGTGAAATTACCTGTCCGTATGCCCCTGTTCGTTTATTTGACTTTTTTACCGAATGAACTTACTGAACGGACGGCCACCCAGAAGAGAAGTGTGCTGCTGGTTAACCTCTTGCTCCCAATTAGAACGTTGTGGTTAACCACAGACACCTCTCAATTATAACCAAATACAGGGTGGTCGTCGTTCGTATGTCGACCACGAGGCGGCGGCCATTTTAAACCATGCGAAAGACCAGCGGTGTTCGTCACAGATTCTATGGAACTAAAAACTGACACTTTTTCTGCCGAACACCGCTAAAACCCCAGACCGCCCTTCTCAGTCGACAAAGGCATGCGAACACCGGCCGTTCGGGAGTTTGGACTAAACGAATGGACTTAACCCAGATAGCCTTCCCATGGAGTCAATCGCATACCGAAAGACTGTAAAAGACTTTGACTCCATGGCGATTGAACTATGCGTATGGGATCTGAGCGCTATTCGCTAAGAATATGCACTCAGATCCAGGCTATCTGGGGATACGTTGCACGAATGGAATATGTTCGGTAGTTGTGTAATTATTTATTTTTATGTGGTTTTTATGTTTCATCTAAAATGGTGATTTGCCTCTGTCCTGGGAGATAATTGAATTACTCCTCAGTTATCTCCAGGGCAGAGGGGAGGAAACCATGATGCATGCTGGGAATATTATGTGCCTGTGTGTCCTAACATGCTAAATGTCTGTCTGCCATTACAGTCTCCCATTTGGTCCTCTAGGGGAGTGTCCACCAAGTGGGAGACCTGCATAAATACAGGCGGGTAGCCCACAGTAAAGCCAGTTTTTGTTTTATCCTCAATGCGGAGCTTGGTCTCGTTATTGGGGGGGATTTACTACACACGGTTAGCGACTGATTGCTGGAACCGTAAGCCGCTTGGATGATATATTGATTCGGCTGTTAGCGGCGATTCGTGGGTTTATCGCTCGAGAGTTGGAGTATCCCGTTCGGGAGTTTAGCGCATTCCCCTGCTTGCAGTTCGTACGATTGGAGTCTAAAAGGAATGGAGTTTGTATTATTGCGAGAGGGGAGGATTCACTAAACGGCGGTTTTGACTATTTGATGCTGAGGGTGCCGTTACAATAATAATGCCAATGATAATCTGTTATCAGCCCCAAATCATAACACACTCATATTTATACTTGTGTGATGATGGTGATGTGCCAAAGGAATGCTTGTCACCTTATCACAAGTATAGTACAGGTACATCCCACCTTATCACAAGCACAACACAGGTACATCACACCTTATGACAAGCACAACAAGCACAGGGCAATATATACCACCAGTTTGTACACAAGGTTATACCTCACACACTCTCCTGATATATACCACCTGCAAAGGGCAATCTATAGGCCCCCTTATCTACAGAAGGTTATATGAACTCCCCTGTGCAGGGATATATATCAGGGCAGTGAGTGAGACATAACCAACTGTATATACAGGGGTCATATATTCACTTGCACCAGCATGGAGATTGCACTCACAGGACTTGCTCTAGCACAGCGACTGTACTCACAGGACTTGTCCCAGCACTTAGAGTGCACTCACAGAATATGCCCTAGCACCCAGGACGTACCCTAGCATGGAGACTGCACTTACAGGACTTGTCCCAGGACTTCTAACAGCCTCTTGCACGCAGGAGGGAAAAGATGCCGGTTATGAGATCTTTGGCAGCAACATCAGATTATCAATGAGAATGCTCCCTCACACTCTTGGGGCCTCATCTGCACCTAGCCACAGATAGACTCTTAAAGCGGCCATGGCAGAACTCTTAAAGAATGCATCCCACAGCGGGCCCAGGGCAGTGCAGCCCTACACAATATTACAAACAGTAGTCTTTACTGGTGTCACTACGTATTTTTTATAATTAACAGATACCATGGTTGTGACCCATAACCTCTGAGTGTAATGGTTACAGTTTGTGTCTGACATATTTGGCTGTCTGAGTGTAATGGGGATTGCACATTATTTATTGTGTTGTCTGTGTGTGAGAGGAATAGTTTGTGTGTGATGGTATTGAGCTGTGCATGATGGAAACTGAGTGTTTGCATTGGGCTGGCTGTGTGTGATGAGAATGGATAGTCATGTGACACCTGGCGCTCCTACATTGAGCGGGAATGGGAGGAGCTCCCCATTCCAGTGTACAGTGCGTGCGGTTTCATTATGGAGCCACACACAGTCTGGGGGCGCCAGGAGCACACGCCGAGGGGACGCAAAAATCACTTGTGAGTCTGACAAGTGATTTCTGCACCCTCCCTCGGCCTGCGCCCCTGGCGGGCGCCGTTCTGACCAGCTCCACAGTACCCCCCTGCCCAGACTTCTTATATATCATTTTGCACAGGGGAAACAGGGCTTTCACGTCACATCAACTATAAATATATATAACAATGTATTATAAACAAATCTTCATTTTTCAGTTTATACACATTGAAGTTTGCCAGATAATAGTTTCACCACAGAAATAAAGCCTATCCTGTGAAGTTTGCAGGCAAATCATTACCATTGGGAAGCTGCCCAATGACATGGTAACTTAATTTTGGTTCCCAACCCGAAGGGCCGATGATCTAGACAGTGAGCTTGTTTGAGCAGGGCCTCACTATTTACTACATGTACATTGTTATTCTCAATTACTTGTATGAATCTATTGTCAACGTAGAAATATATTGAGAACTTTTATAAATACAATTATTTCTAATAATAATATTTTCCACTTAAATTATATCATCTGTTGTCTTAATTAAATTTAGACGTTCTTTTGTGATATTCAGTTCAAGAACTCGAAGAATGTTAGTTTATAATGCATGTAATAACATATATCTGTGCTTGACAGTCACACTATTTAAGAGAATCTAATAGTTAAATTTTGAATTTCTGAATGAAATAAACAGAGTCCTAAAGGATCCATGAATCACTTCCAATAGTTCTGTTTCACTATGGGAAATCAGCAAAGAAAATATTAACAGCTCATCATTCGCGATACGCTCTATCAACTTCTGATTTCAAAAGATTAGAAATGTTTAAATAACTTGCTGTACTCACATTCTAATTTTCAAGCCATAACTAAAATATTTGAGAAATCGCAAAGCAATTTACAGTAAATCCCTGAGGTTTCTTTACATTTCTGCTTTTAATAAAACACTTTTTTTTTTTTTTTTAAAGGGTCACCCCATCTGAGAATATTAAAGATTTTTTTCTCGTTAGCAAATTGTAAAAATTACAGATTCTTTTGGCCATCGGCCCATTTGCCATTCAGTTGCTATTTAAATATATCTCTACTGGACATATGTGTGCACCTCCCGGCTTCCTAGAGACTAAGTAAATTATTACATTATCTAAAACAAATAGATAATGCTAGTGAAGGCTGAAATGGACATGCTAAGAAATATAACCATTCCAGTTTTTGAAGTTCTCAGTGAATACCTTTCTAGCAACCTATTTCATTACCCTTAATTATACCTTTTGTGTCACTATACCCCACTCCCTCTAACATGTAAACTCACTGAGCAGGCCCTCAATCCCTCTGTTACTGTGTCACTATACCCCACTCCCTCTAGCATGTAAACTCACTGAGCAGGCCCTTAATCCCTCTGTTACTGTGTCACTATACCCCACTCCCTCTAGCATGTAAACTCACTGAGCAGGCCCCTCAATCCCTCTGTTACTGTGTCACTATACCCCACTCCCTCTAACATGTAAACTCACTGAGCAGGGCCCTCAATCCCCCTGTTACTGTGTCACTATACCCCACTCCCTCTAACATGTAAACTCACTGAGCAGGGCCCTCAATCCCTCTGTTACTGTGTCACTATACCCCACTCCCTCTAACATGTAAACTCACTGGGCAGGGCCTCAATCTTTCTGTTACTGTCACTATACCCCACTCCCTCTAACATGTAAACTCACTGAGCAGGGCCCTCAATCCCTCTGTTACTGTGTCACTATACCCCACTCCCTCTAACATGTAAACTCACTGAGCAATCCCTCAATCCCTCTGTTACTGTGTCACTATACCCCACTCCCTCTAACATGTAAACTCACTGAGCAGGCCCTCAATCCCTCTGTTACTGTGCACTATACCCCACTCCCTCTAGCATGTAAACTCACTGAGCAGGCCCTCAATCCCTCTGTTACTGTGTCACTATACCCCACTCCCTCTAACATGTAAACTCACTGAGCAGGGCCCTCAATCCCCTGTTACTGTGTCACTATACCCCACTCCCTCTAACATGTAAACTCACTGAGCAGGCCCTCAATCCCTCTGTTACTGTGTCACTATACCCCACTCCCTCTAACATGTAAACTCACTGAGCAGGGCCCTCAATCCCTCTGTTACTGTGCCACTATACCCCACTCCCTCCAACATGTAAACTCACTGAGCAGGGCCCTCAACTCCTCTGTTACTGTATGTCACTATACCCCACCTCCCTCTAACATGTAAACTCACTGAGCAGGCCCTCAATCCTCTATTACTGTGTCACTATACCCCACTCCCTCTAACATGTAAACTCACTGAGCAGGCCCTCAATCCCTCTGTTACTGTGTCACTATAACCCACTCCCTCTAACATGTAAACTCCACTGAGCAGGCCCTCAATCCCTCTGTTACTGTGTCACTATAACCCACTCCCTCTAACATGTAAACTCACTGAGCCGGGCCCTCAATCCCTCTGTTACTGTGTCACTATACCCCACTCCCTCTAACATGTAAACTCACTGAGCAGGCCCTCAATCCCTCTGTTACTGTGTCACTATACCCCCACTCCCTCTAACATGTAAACTCACTGAGCAGGCCCTCAATCCCTCTGTTACTGTGTCACTATACCCCACTCCCTCTAACATGTAAGCTCATTGAGCAGGCCCTCAATCCCTCTGTTAATGTCACTATACCCCACTCCCTCTAACATGTAAACTCACTGAGCGGGGCCCTCAATCCCTCTGTTACTGGGTCACTATACCCCACTCCCTCTAACATGTAAACTCACTGAGCAGGGCCCTCAATCCCTCTGTTACTGTCACTATACCCCACTCCCTCTAACGTAAACTCACTGGGCAGGGCCCTCAATCCCTCTGTTACTGTGTCACTATACCCCACTCCCTCTAACATGTAAACTCACTGAGCAGGCCCTCAATCCCCTTGTTACTGTGTCACTATACCCCACTCCCTCTAACATGTAAACTCACTGAGCAGGGCCCTCAAATCCCTCTGTTACTGAGTCACTATACCCCACTCCCTCTAACATGTAAACTCACTGAGCAGGGCCCTCAATCCCTCTGTTACCGTCACTATACCCCACTCCCTCTAACATGTAAACTCACTGAGCAGGGCCCTCAATCCCTCTGTTACTGTGTCACTATACCCCCCTCCCTCTAACATGTAAACTCACTGAGCGGGGCCTCAATCCCTCTGTTACTGTGTCACTATACCCCACTCCTTCTAACATGTAAACTTACTGAGCAGGCCCTCAATCCCTCTGTTACTGTGTCACTATACCCCACTCCCTCTAACATGTAAACTCACTGAGCAGGGCCCTCAATCCCTCTGTTACTGTGTCACTATACCCTACTCCCTCTAACATGTAAACTCACTGAGCAGGGCCCTCAATCCCTCTGTTACTGTGTCACTATACCCCACTCCATCTAACATGTAAACTCACTGAGCAGGGCTCTCAATCTCTCTGTTACTGTGTCACTATACCCCACTCCCTCTAACATGTAAACTCACTGAGCGGGGCCCTCAATCCCTCTGTTACTGGGTCACTATACCCCACTCCCTCTAACATGTAAACTCACTGAGCAGGGCCCTCAATCCCTCTGTTACTGTCACTATACCCCACTCCCTCTAACGTAAACTCACTGGGCAGGGCCCTCAATCCCTCTGTTACTGGGTCACTATACCCCACTCCCTCTAACATGTAAACTCACTGAGCAGGGCCCTCAATCCCTCTGTTACTGTGTCACTATACCCCACTCCCTCTAACATGTAAACTCACTGAGCAGGCCCTCAATCCCTCTGTTACTGTGTCACTATACCCCACTCCCTCTAACATGTAGACTCACTGAGCAGGGCCTCAATCCCTCTGT